CACAAGTTTAGCGAGTCTTGGGAAAGCAGTCTTCGTTTTCTTCCGCGCTAGTTAATTCTACTATGCTGTTTTTACTGTGCTTAGTTTAGTGCTGGTCTGTGGGTTAAATGAAAACTGTTAGTATAGCGTTATGTTGCTTAATTAAACTTACATGTGTGAATAAACACCTTCTTTTATCTGTCATTTAGAAACCGACATTAGATGCCCTGCAAGAGAACATGTAAATAAGCTTTGCCTATGCTAATAGCTGTCTAAAACCAGTCATTCACTGTGTGGATCTGTGTCAAATGAATCCGTTGGGAATTTGCAAACTCGCAGGATTGTACTGGGTGAAAAAAAACATAAAGGTGTAAGATTTGACAGGCTCTCCTGAAGACAACGCAAAAAAAATGTTTTATCACACAAATCTATCTAAATGATGAGGATTTGCTTAGTCAGATGTACAAAGACCCTTATCTGGATGCTTTATGAATCTGAAATGGGCAAATGTTTTATTTTTAGTCTTTTTAATTGATGTCAATTGTGGATTTTGAGTCAGCGGTCAACATTCATTCCACGTTATAAATCCAGATGGATCCCAGCCGCAACTGTATGTGTCCAGCCTTCATGCTTATGTGAATTTTAGCCTGTTGTAATTCAAATGAATGCATTTGAATGGGTTTTTTAATCATTTGACGTCAGACTCTTTATGTGCTGATAGCACCGTGGATCTGGTCACTAACTGATAATGGAGTTGAAAGAAAGATTTTTTTATGAGTCTGTGTGTGCGTGGATGCATGCATATGCTGGTCTGGAATAGTCTGGCTTTTACAACTCTGACTCGCCACTGAACTGTTTGCTCATTTTCATATTTCACAGCAGCCTTTTGTTGCATGGAAACACTTCCTGTTGTTGTGGTAACGGTGACTTTTTTTGTTGTGGTTGGTTGTTTGCTATTTTCTAAACCAAAGGCTTTTTTTTCTTCTTTGCTTCTATAGATGTTGCTTCTTTCTTTTTTTTAAATACATGTTTTTGATTATTTTAATAATTATTTTTATGTTGTTGTTCTTTGGGGAAAACATATAAATGTTTACACCTGTATCAAATTATATGTTACATATATAAATACATATATCATTCACCTTTCTTGGTGCGTTTCATTTCACCTATTGCTTATTACCTTTTTTTTTTTTTTTTTGAGCGGCTCTTATCTAGATCAGTTAATATATATATACACATACTATTAATAAGCATAAATCTATTTCTCAAGGGGTTCATGGCCCCACATATGTCAAATCTCTGAATCTTACTGCTGTAATTGTTCTTCTTTAAGATTAATCCCACAAATCGTTCATTGTGACACTTGTCACATTATTACAGAAGAAATGACAAAGTCTGTATTTGTTTGTGCACTGTGTGGGAATATTTTGACAGCCATTCAGGACCTTTCACTGCACAGTAGTGGAATTGGAGATGAACAATAGGTAGATGAGAGATGTGGTGAGGCCATTGTGTAATAGGAGGTGAATGGTTTGCTGGCATTTTCCAGAGCTGAATAAAACACATTTTACAGCGGGCACTAGGTCCGTGTATCCCACAACACGCAGGAGTCAGTTCGCTCCAGTGTTTAATTAGAAGAGACGTTACGGTTGAAGGAAAAAGTGGAGACCCACAACGCGCAGCGGCAAACAAGGACCTGGCCCACTCTCCTCCAGTTCCTCCCTTCGAGTATCGCTCGCGCTCTCCAGTCGACCGTGGAAAGGTGGAGTGAGATGCACCCACAGCGCCCGCTGCCCCAGGCCATGCCCTCCTCACTGGGCCAAAACCTGAGA